CAGTGGAGCCTTAGCAATTGAATTCTAGACCCAGGGAACCCGAAATGGCTTCTCCCTGATACTTGGGGTTTCGACCTTAGGGTCTAGCATGTCAGCCCAGCCCCCGCGCAGCGGCTGACAATCTATGCTAAATTGGCGCCACCTCACACCAGGGCGTGTGGGCTGCGAGCCGCATGTTCCAATGACCCGCCCGCTGTGACAGGCACCCGCCTGAACTTGGGGCCTTAGGGTTTAGTGGCTTTGGGGCTGACGTCCTCAATTCCAAACACCGGATCGGGCTTTGCAGACAAGCTTGAGCCCAAGGACATCCCCTCAACCCTAAACCCTGAATCTGAACCCTACGCCCTAAACCCTGCATCGGAACCCTAAACCCTGAATCGGAACCCTAAACCCTAAACCCTAAGCCCTGAACCCTAAACCCTAAACCCTAAAGGGTAAGAATCAGGGTACACTGTACAGGTTGGGACCAGCCATGGCTGGAAGGTCGGTGAGGCAGAGCCAAACATTTTCTGTCAGTTGCTGTCTTCAGGGTTCAGGGCTTTGGGTTTAGGGTTCGGGGCTTAGGGTTTAGGGTTTAGGGCTTATGAGGGGTTTAGGGTTTAGATTTAGGGTTTTAGGGGCTTAGGGTTTAGGGTTTCAACTCGTGAATTTATGCTATTCCGGGTGAGTTCACCCTGGCTTCTAACCCGCGCAGCCTAAGCCCTGAGACGGAACCCTAAACCCGAAACCCCAAGCTCTACACCTCGAGCCCTTGACCCTGGTGGCTCGTCATGTCCTTGATGCTGTCAGCATAGAGAAACAAGTCGCTGCCTGGCCATCGCTGGGGCCGTTTCTCCACTGGAGTTTAAAGGTCTAGGGTTAGCGGCTAAGTTGACCTCCGTTTCAGGGTCCCGGATGAAGGGTTCATGGCCGATGGGCTTTAAGACCGAAGGACTAGGGCCTAACGACCTGTGCAGCGCCTGGAAGCTCGTGCCCTTTGCTGTCTTTGTGCAAAAGCTCTGCCCCAATCTCGGTTCCAGCCAAAGGCCTCCATTTGACGGTTTAGGGTTTATGGTATGTTAGCATCAGTGGTGCGGTAGCTTGCAAAAAAGATGTATTTGGCTTGCGAGCTCTGTAGCTAGCTCTGGTAGGGGCATGGACCTTCTCCATGGTTCCATTCAGCTGGTGACAGGCTACGGTCGATGGCTTGGTTTCACGCACCAGCGAACCTCAGACAGCTGCAGGATCTAGAACTTGCATAAACATCTTGCTCCACCAAGTTCCGACCAAATTTCTGAACCCCCCTGCCCGCCACGATGCTGAAGTGCCCAGATTACATGGTGGCTTGCTGTTTTCGGCTGCAAGCAATACATTCCTGCTCATCAGCAAATCCAATACTGAACCTGTTCAATCAATCGCCCATCAACCCCGAACCATCTAGAGGCAGGATCCTAATGTCCTAGTGCCTCGAACGCTTCAAGGGTTCAGTGCCCTCGCCTTTTCCAGACTCCTTCCCATCCTCCGTCACGAATCCAAATCCTTCTGCATTCCTTGGCCCACTGATTGCGTCGCAATAAGGTGAAGGGATGGGTTTACCTTAAACTTAAACTACTCACCATGAATAACCTATGCTTTGTAGATTCTTGCTGTAAACCCGGATCTAGACTGGATTGGGACCCACACTTTGGTAGTGCAAGGTACGGTTTTGGGACATAGCCTTTTTGGGATTTATGAGTTTCAGAAAATCCGGGACCCAAACTAGGGGCCCTAGCTTGCCGCATCCTCGCTGTAAAGATCCCTTGATCAAGAAATCCCCACATACGCTTTTTGGGGGTCATGCAGCAATGAGTTGGGCATCCCTTCCGATACATATATGCATGGTTGACGGCGACGTATCTGCAGCGGAAAAAGTAACTTGCCCAAACTAATCCTAATCCATAACCCATGAACTTGTTACAAACCTCTTTAAACGTGAGCACCCTGCAGCCCCAAAGCCCTAAACATCCCTAAACCGTAACCTCTGGAAGCCCCCACTGAGCCCCACTGATAAACCCTTAATCCTGAGCCCATCCTAAAGCCCTACAAAAGCCTTACAACCCTACCTTAACCCACCAGAACCTACTTTTTTGCTGGGGCCTTTTTAATTCAAATTAGGGTCTATAATAAGAACCTACAACAAATAGGTTTTGGCAGGTTCAGGTACATCCTAAACCCCGGCACTTACAAATTGGTACCCGTCTCGGAACCCGTCAAGGAACACGCAAACCCAAACCCCTAAACCCAAAACCCTAAAACCCTAAAAACCCCCAAAAACCCTAAACCCTGAACCCTAAAACCCTAAACCCTAAACTCCCCAAACCCTAAACCCTCAACCCCCTAAAGGCGCAGGCCCCCCGCCTCTTACCCCTGGGCGGAAGGGTCCAGCTCGCAACGATGCCCGTAACCCTGGCCGGGGCTGTGGGGTTTACGGTTAAGGGTTCAGGGTTTAGGGTTTGGGTTTGGGTGTTTAGGGTTTAGGGCTTTAGGGTTTAAGGTTTGGGGTTTGGGGTGTAGGGTTTAGGGTCTAGAGCTTTTGGGGTGTGGGAGCTCGGGGTTCAAAGTTGAGAGTTCTTTGGCGTAGGGTTTTGGGTTCTGGGGCGTTAGCGCTTTGGCCTGCAGAGCTTGGGAGTTGTATGGGTTTCAGAATTTAAAACTTCTAGGATCTAAGGTGTTCGGGTTCTGGGTTCAATGGGTTCGGGTTCAAGAGGGCCCCGTGACTCTAACGCCACACCCGTCTAATTGAGGACTTATATTGCATTGAGAGTCCGGTTGCAGATCAAGGTATATGGCTCAATTTAGGGATTTCCGAGTCTGTTCGTGTAAGGCCTAGACTTTATGGCAGCGGGTTCGTTGTTTGGAGTCGTGCAATCTATCTCTCTCTCTCTCTCTCTCTTCTGTCTTTCTGTTGGGCGCAGGGCTAGGGTCTACTGTCGTAGCCTCTCGGAAGGACCTGGCAAACACACCTGAGCATTCTTGATTAACAATCTCCATTAACAACCCTTATTAGAAAACATGTCCGAATATCCAGACTTTTCAGAAAGTTATAGAAAAGGGACTTATTCATCACGGGTCCACTACGGTTTAAATGTCCCCTGACATTTAACCTGAAACCGCAAACCCCTACACCCTAAACCCTAAAGCCTAATCCCTAAATCTCAAGCTGACGGTGCTAACAAACTTGTCGTTGTAGATGGGGCCAAGAACATGCGGGGAGAGGGATTCAAAAAGGTTCCTCCAAGCGTTGCCGAAAAGGGTTCCGATAACCAAGGGTGTAGACTTTTCTGGGTATACAACTACTGCATAGCCGAAGCACCAAAGCCTAAACCGGCTGAGCCGACCAGGTGCTGAAAGTAACATCCGCAGGGCAACGTATGTGGAAGTTGAGATCACGAATCTGTAGTCTAAGGCATGATACATGTGTATAGATATGTTATATGTATCTGATATTATGCTAAAATGAGATCACGAATCTCTCGCTCATGTCTCGTTGATTCTCATGTCCAGCCGTGAACAGGTCTTGAAGAATCCAAGGGCCCACCTACAGCTGATGACCGGAAACTGACACCAGATGAAGCTGCACACCAGCATCCACTCTCCACGACAACGCTATCCAAGATATGTAGGGACAATGACAATCTGGCCTTTTTGCCATTGCACAAAGCCGGCTGCTGTGCAAATGCACTCGTTGAGCTTAACAGGGTTGTGGCTTGCATGCTAACTTAAGGCTTTGGTATCGGCATGGATTGCTTGACGGGAATAGCTGACTGGTTGCTGTGGTCCGTTCATTGATGGCTGTCCAGCATGTCCTTGACACGACACTTCGGGCAACAACAGGCCGCATAATGCATTTGCCGCACACGCCCCGAACAAGTGAAGCAGACCTGCCGAATCCAAGCCAATGTGATACCACATCGAACACAAGTTTGCTTGAAAGGAACGTATGCTCTGAACAACTCAGGTTCTGCTAGAAGCTAGATTCGTCACCAAGTCTTTTACGGATTCGGGCCTGCTGTTAATTAATGTTGATGACGTTCCTTCACGACACCTAGCACACATAAATGGCAGTGCCAAGACGTAACGGCATGAGCTGCCTTTTGACTAAGCACACGCTAATTCAAGACAAGACCAGTTTGACTGCCAGCCGAGGTGGCTCTATTTTCTAGCAGTACTCACATGGGTGCCTCAAGATTTAGGAGCCTTTCAACACAATCCTGAGACAAACTACCAGTATGGTGAGCAGACAGTAAACTCCCTGTCACAACAGTAGGAGTTTGCGGGTGTGGTGAGGGTGGTGGTGATGGTGGCGGCGGTGGTGGTGGTGGTCGTAGGCCACGACGACCACGACGACGACTACCACTACATTCACTACATACTGAGTACTGCAAGAACAACGGCTTGTCAGCACATGTGATTCACGGTAGTCATGTCATGCCATGCCACACTATTCTCGTCCCAAATGTACAAGGGTATGCCCATGCAACCTGCTTCGGTACCATGGTCGTATGACACGAAAGGTGCCCTGGTGTGCTGCAAGATAGTGCCAGCTGGTCTGGCATGGCATGATCAATGAACTCTTACCAAACTGTTCCGGTAAGAAAACCATAAAACACCAGAATACCCTATAAAACAATAGACCGGACCACCTTCTACATCTCAAACCCTAGACCCTATCAAGCCCTCTAGGCTCCACTCAACCCAAGCCCCAGGCCCCCAAACCCCAAGACCCTTCAACCCATAACCTTCAAAAAACATCTTAAACCCCTAAGCCCTTAAACCCTTACATTCTTCCATCCTAAATCCTAAACCTTAAACCTAACCCTAAACCCCAAACCCTACACCCTAAACCCTAAACCCCAAACCCGAAACCCGAAACCTAAACCCCAAACCCTAAACCCTAAACCCTAAACCCCAAACCCCAAACCTTAAACCCTAAACCCTAAACCCTAAACCCTAAACCCCTAGGACCCGTTCCCCCTTGGAGCCTTCAAGGCCTCTCCTTCGGGCACAGCCTCCATTCCTGTGCCTGCGGCCGCCTTGGGGGCCGGAATGAGGCGACCCGCAGGCTGAGGGCTCTAGGGGTTTAGGGTTTAGGGTTAGGGGTTTAGGGTTTAGGGTTTAGGGTTTAGGGTTTAGGGTTTGGGGTTTAGGGTTTGGGGTTTGGGAGCTTGGCAGTTCAGTGTTTAGGGATTAATTAATGGCTAGACCCTAAACCCTAAACCCTAAACCCTAAACTGTGGTGCAAGGGTTTGGGGATTTTGGGTTTTGGGTTAAGGGTTTACGGTCTGTGCAAGACACTTGGAGATCGATGTCCGATGGGGTGGGCTGCAAGGACTGGAATGTAAGGGCCGTGTAAAGTGCAATAGGGTTGGGTTTCGGGTTTAGGGTTTAGGGTTTACGTTTTAGGGTGTAGGGTTGGGATGTATAACTATTATCTGGTGACTATGAGGGCGATTAATACTGGTTGCTCTGACCCTATAACCACGTCCACCTTTGATGCGGCAACAGCATCCTGAAAATCCTCCGTATTAAACTGTCCCTGCCTCCTAAAAACCTATTTGGGATTCGGGCGCTTGAGCAAGAGAGAAGCAAGTGCCAGAGCAAAAGCAAGATCACGAGCAAGAGCAAAAGCAGGAGCAGAAGCAAGAGGAGCAAAAGCAGGAGCAAGAGCAGGAGCAGGAGCAACAGCAAGATCTCCGGAGTGTAGGGCTTTAGGGCTTCATACCGGCTCAGCATACAGCGAATAGAAGTTTGAAGAACATGGCTTTCAAGCTTCTGGCTTTACAAATTTAAGAGTAGAAGGCTTGCAGCGGGATCTCCATGGAGCTGTCAGACTTTGCATGCAAGCTGCGCTGGCATCGGGTGCCTTAGCAGGCCTGGCCGTGCCTGGCAGATGGGAACGTTGGAACATTGAACAAAAATAGAAAGCAGATGTTTGAGGGTTTCAGGGTCCAGGCTGTAGCGTTTAAGTTTCGGGTGCACGGCCTTCTTGATTTCCAGGCTGTAGCTCTCCACCGGGCACATAAGATAGGATTCTGCTCGTCTTCCTTGAGCACGATCTGAGCGTCTGCTGGTCTAGCGATTCCTAGCTAGACAAAGTATCTTCTCTCAGGCCACTGGGATGGAGATTTTATGTCACCCTAAACCCTGAGCCCTAAAAACCTAAGCCCTAAACCACGAATCTAAGGCACAAGCCTACAGAAGTTCCTTGAAAGCTTGGAGCACCCTTAAAGCCCTGACGCACTGAACCTCAAGAACAGCTCTAAAGGCCACATAAGCCCTCATCCTCAGATAGGAGACCAAACTCTAAACCCGAGAGACCAAACCCTAAATCCCAAACCCCAAATTTTAAACCCATAAACCCTCGACCCTAAAAATACATACACCCTCAACCCTAAACCCGAGATCCTCTACATAAACCCTCAACCCACCTAAACATGCCAGCCAAGTCTCTCGGGTAGGCAGAGCAACCTCTAGATGATACTTGGCCCATCATCTCACGGTTTAGGGTTTTAAGGGTCTCCTCTAAATCTCCGAAATCATCGACTCATGTGGTCGCCATAATTCGCGTGAAGAGTATTTTTCGGAAGGGGGGGTAATAAAGACTGTAAGTACATAAAGACTTTAAGGGAATATGGTTACTAACAACTTGGTGATTGCGAGCACGACTATCTTGCGGTTAGCATCTTGCTCCTGGCATTGTTGCCTTAGCCTGCAACCCTAGATCCTCAACCACTCAACCTCAAACCATCACGCCTTAACCCTCAAACCCTTAAACCCTGAAAAAAAGGAAACCCCTGAAACCTTCAACCCTGCGCCCTGAAGCCCTGAAACCCAGCACCCTGAATCACGGAAACCCCAAGTCCAACCTGGTGGCAGTGGTGGCTTCCCTGGCACCGAAGCCGTGGCACCTGCGCTGCTCGGGGGCCACTGGGTTACAGGCGTACAAAAATTGTAGGGTTTATAGGGCTTAGCGCATGTAGGATTTAGGATGGGTTCAGGTTTCGGGCGAAGAGAAAGTTTAAAGCGGTAAGATTTCCGCCGCCAGACTTTAGGTTGCCAAGTGTTCCTTGATTTGGGGTGACGTGCCAGGCTGAGCAAGGCTTGTCGCAAAATCTGAGTAAAATGCGAGACATCGCTGCCCTAAGCACTATGCCCGACCATTTGCAGCCGGAAGCGCTTCACGTAGACTAATCACTAGCCTCCTCATCCCCCAACGAAGCCTTAGGGCATAAGAGTGTAAAGACCCAGACGAGACCTCGTATCACACACACTCCACGGCCTGTACCATCCTCTGCCAAGAGCGCAGAGATGAGGAAGTCCTTGCACCGGAGATCAATCATTAGCTGTTTTGTTTTGAGGGGGGTCATTAGAAGTGATAACGGTCGTCTCGGATTTGGCGACAATCCCGAACATGCACGACAAGGGAACTTCACAATTCTTCCGGGTGGCTGCAGGTTCCTCGAGCCAAACGACGAAGGTTGACAATTCATGACAGAAGATCGAACACAAAAGCCAACAAAAAGTTTCACTTGGACCAGACGGGATCATTCCATTGCACGTGTTATGGGGGCTTGACTAAGGGGTATTGGCAATTCTTTCGGCTTCTGCATTGGCTGTCGAAGCATGTCTACATTGTCTACATGCATTGAACCAAGACCAGATGCGCCACTCGACGACGTCGCGCAAACACCTAACCCTATTCAAAACCCTGTGGCCTTAAACCACGTCGTCAGACTTATTTACTAAAAGACTTCACGGCGATTAGGACTGCTGTAAGGACTGCTATAGCCTGGTATCCTGGAAGCTTGCCCTTGTCCAGAGCTGCTATTTGCTTGCTCCCCGTGTCCTCTGTGGCATACCACAGAAGACAAGATGAGGAAGAGACGCGGAGCATGTAACACACAGACACATGTAGGTCGACATACTTGTAGACAGACAGCCAGATGGGCAAGTTCAATATACTAGTCATAACAAGTCGACACATCAAACATCTATGTATACACATGTTTATATACGTAAAACAGCTTTACGTGTATACAGACATGACACATATGTAGGCAGCGTGAACACTAAACGCATGTACGCATGCTAGAGCTGTTTAAGCCTTTGTCCATCTTCTTCTCTCTCTCTCTATCTATCTATCTATCTATCTATCTATCCACCCATCTATCTCTCTCTCTCTCTCTCTCTCTCTGCTCGCAATTTTGATCAATCACCTGGAGGTGTCCTGAGTTCGACCAGGCGAGACAGGATCTGGGAGCCTGTCCTCCAGACGGACACGTCTGCAACGAATGCACGGCTTAGGGTTTAGGGTTTAGGGGTTTAGGGTTTAGGGGTTTAGGGGTTTAGGGGTTTAGGGTTTAGGGTTTAGGGTTTAGGGGTTTAGGGTTTAGGGCTAGCAAACAAAGCACTGCGGCTTCTGGCCACAGCCACAAAAGGGACCTAAACCTAATGCCCAAGATCATCTATCGTCATCAGTATGGACAGAGTCTGACACACAACCCGAATGCTCTTGAATGTGCTGTTTTGGAGCTATGTGAAAAAAACACCTTTCTGACACTTCTGAACTATAGGGCTAGGCCGGAATCGCTTGATGGTGAAGGATTTCGAGCAATCAACCGCTGCAGCAACGACCCTCCAGAGCCTAAATCCTCCAGAAGCCGATACGCCATAGCCCGCTCCGAAATGCCAGATATGCCTGACATGAACCATGTCTTTTCTCGTTAGCACTCTATGGCATCCCAGCTCCGGCAATGTGATATGAATCATGCTGCGCGGCACCAAGCTATCTTGGACTTAAGCAGAGGCAGCTTCTCGCTACCGATACGCTGATGGACAAAATCCTGCATGACCCTGTATACCTAAACAATGGGATTTATGGTACTATACTAGATTTGGGTCATGCAGAATTTTGTCCATCAACCGTACTTATCCCTGTGTCACAACTACATATGACATGCGACGACACCCTACAGCCGTCAACCACAGAACCGCTAAATGAACAAACCAGGATACCGAAAAAAACTAAAGCCCTGAACTGGGTTGTCGTTGAGGAACAATATTTCATCACAATCCTTTCCCCTTGGGCTCCAAATAGCCCAAAGTAGGTACTAGATATTACAGACTTTAGACCCCAAAGCAGGTACTATTTGTACAATGTATAGGGGCCTTAACAATTAGAATAGGGTTTTGGGGGTTCCTCATGAAAACTGATAGTACAATATACCCCCAAGCCCTATTCTAATTATGAAGGCCCCTATATTATAGAACCCTTATAGCAACCCTTATAGAACGATCCCTTTTAAGGAGCCCTATTCTAACTATTAAGGCCCTTATATTAATGGGAGCCGTAGGGTTCCACACAGCTCCGATCTCTGGTTGTTCCCCGACCTCTGGTCGGGGCTGCAGATCCGACCTAAGATCCGCTCGTGCTCTTGGTTTCTGGTTTGGGTTTTTTTAGGGTTTAGGGCTTTAGGGTTTAGGGTTGTTGTGGTTGTTACCTGTTGGAACATTGTTTATGTTGGTTTGTTGGTCTGCTGAATTGTTTTGCTCGGTTTCTGGTTATGGGCTTTGGGTTTCAGAAAGGTTTAGGGTTTAGGATTTGGGTTGGGGGGATTCATCATTTTCGATGGTTTGGTCTGAACTGCACCAGCCGATGCTTTGCCCGTCTGGCATCGTCAAGGGTTTGACTTTGAGGTTTCGAGTGTGCCAGGATGCTTCACATCCGTGGCCCAGGGTTTAGGGTTTAGGGTTTAGGGTCTAGGGTTTAGGGGATGTTCGAAACTGGCCCAAGCAGAACCAGCCCTAAACCCGGACAGCAGTGACTGCAGTGCCCCCATTCTAGAATTCATACAAAGCTGGGATTGTGTGCAGCTGAAGTGGGGCCTGTAACTAATTGTAGCTTGTTAGAACGCGTTATGTCTGATGTAGACTCCGACTCATGGTTCCCCCTTGAACATGCACCAGTAAAGAATCGAACCTGCAGAAGCCAAACTTGCAAAGCGCCATCGAAGCCCCAATAACCACGGAATCTCAAAGCTCCTGGAAGCCACACCCTAAGGGTCCTACGCACTGTAGGGTTCGGGGTTTAGGGTACCTTACTAAGTACCTACATAGAGGAATGTAGCAGGTAGGGTTTCTGGACTAGGAACTTACTGCTATGATTTGGGGAAAACCAGACGAACCCAAGCCGTGAAACCGAAGGAGTCCTCCTCCCTGAACCCTAAACTCTCAACCCGAAACCCTGTCGGGTTCGGGGTTTAGGAGTTTAGGGGTTTAGGGGTTTAGAGTTTAGGGTTTGGGATTTAGGGTTCCGAAGTGCCTACCCTGCAAAACCCACAGCCCGAAGCAGCTGGACAAATCCTTATCACCAAAAAAAACCGTTACGATCGCACACCACCAGAAGGCCGAAAGCCCATAGACTCGTTCCCCTACACCTGGGAACCCGAAAACCTCCCCAAAAAAGCTCAACATCTTTCGATACCCTGAAACCAGAAATTTCAACAACCACAAACCGGAAACCCTGAACCCCCATTCCCTATAACCCTTAAACCCTAAACCTCTCCTGTGGGCACCCGCTTAAGCTCTGCTTGGAGGTCGACGACCTTGGCCAGCGAGGCCTGTGATACGGTACGGCTGATGGACAAAATCCTGCATGACCTTATATGGGTAGTTATCCAAATCAGAGTCCCTTTATAGGTCCCCAATATAGTACGGCACCCTTGTCAAAAGGACCCTAAAGGGGACCCTAATTTAGAGAACTACCCATATACCTCAACCATGGGACTTATGGTACTATACTAGATGTGGGTCATGCAAAATTTTGTCCATCAGCAGTAGGGTCTGGGGTCTGGGTTGAATCGGTTGAAGCTGATTGGTTCTTATGCGGGCTTTCTGGGAGTCTGTGGGGAATTGCCGGTCGGACCACAGGTAAGTTATCTGTAGTAAAAGCCATAAATCCAGACGGACCTAGCCATGCACCTCCAAGTAGGGAGTAGCCCCATGACACGGAATACAGCCGGCTGCCCCTCTAAGATGCAGCTGTTTGGGGATCTACAGTTCCATGCTGCCCTACGGCTAGAACATGTTCGAAATGGGACGTCGTAGCTGCTTGAATGCTTTTGGCTCTGGAAGCTACCTTTCCTCCCGGGATCGGACTTCAGATTCCCCCAAAACAACCACAGAGCCCCACGCGCCGTAACCTCGTTGCGGTGATCCGTTGAGGGCTGCAGGCAGTGGGGCTGAGCCCAAGAAGAATCACCCTAAACCCTAAACCCTGAACCCTAAACCCTGAACCCTAAACCCTAAACCATAAACCCAAAACCATAAACCCTAAACCTTAAACCCTAAACCCTAAACCCTAAACCTTAAACCCTAAACCCTAAACCCTAAACAATCATGAACAACATCTTCAACTTCCGGCCTCCCGCCTTGCAGAACTAGTATGGCCTCGATGATTTTGTTTTTTTTAAAAAAAAGCGGCTTGGGCATGTTTTAGGGTTTAGGGTCTAGGGTTTAGGGTTCTAATTGTAACGAGAAGCCCCAAACATGGTGTAAATTGGTTATTACGAACTAACTCAATTTATCTGACTCTTATGCTCACCGGCCAACACCCAACATCTGTGCCACCCAACCCCTAGGGCTCCAAGTATACAAATAATACCTACTTTAGGGTCTAAACTCTGTCTATAGTACCTACCTTAGGGAACCACCGGCGGAGTCTTGGCCAAGAAAGTGCCCGCAGGTTTCAAATCCAGAATGGACACAAGAACCTCGGCAAAAGAAACGCCTAGACGGACCCCTGAACCCCGAAAACGAAGACCCTGACCCAAGATAACGGTTGATGGACAAAATCCTGCATGACTTTATATACCTAATCTATGGGATTTAATGATCGAAACTATATTTGGGTCATGCAGAATGTTGTCCATCAGCAGTAAGCAAGCTCTCCTAAGCCCTAAAAGCTTCGTAAACTCTGAAACACCCCAGACCATCCCAAACCCGATCTCTGACTTCTTGTCTACCTATAGTCTCCATTGTAGTTCCTTTTTTGTTTTTTTGGTTTAACCAATTGTATAATTAGGATCCTATGAGGTAACCCCAAAAAGGAACTACAATGGAGACTATAGGTAACGTCAACGATCGCCTGGCTCGGCCGCCGTTGCGTACCTACGCGGTGATTCGGGGCTTCAAGCTTTGGGCCTTGTGGGGGTTTCCGAAAATTAGGGTACCTTATTTGGGGGTCCTTATAATAAGGATCCTACTATTTAGGGTACTATATTAGGGTCCCCTATTTTCGGAAACCCCTTGTGGGCTTTGAGTCGAAGCGGTTTAGGGCTCAGGGTTTAGAGGCCGTAATCGTTACTGTGAGAGATCTTTGCTTCATAGTCCCTGTGGCACTACAGCAGAAGTATAAGTATACAGCTTCCCGAAGGCCTACTTTACCTCTTGGGTACCGTACATGAACTTGTTGAAATTTTGCAAGAACAGTAACGCAGCATGTGCTCTGCTAACTTATACAAGGTGAGCCACTGGATTTTGGTGCTGAGGTGTTCTGGCATGTGGCGGGCACCGGTGGGACGGAGGGGGTGTCCAGGCTTCCCGTGACGGCTTCAAGCTTAGGGTTTAGGGTTTAGGGTTTAGGGTTAATAGGGTTTAGGGTTTAGGTTTAGGGTTTAGGGTTTAGGGTGCTTCCCTTAAGCCTTTGGTCCGTGCAGAGCTCGAGCAGTTCTAGCTTTCAACCCTCAACGGTCAAAACATGTCCTAGCTTTCAGGGCTCAACAGTCGCAACCTAAGCCCTCAACTCCCAACGCAAAATGCTAAACCCCATAGCTGGAAGCTGAACATCTTGCAGATTCAACCCTACACCCTAAACTGCTGTTTCTTCAATCCAAAGCAGGCCCTTGTACACGTAAACCCTCACCCTTACAAACTCTTATCCAAACTTATAGGGTTTAGGGTTTAGGTTATAAACACTTTGAACGACTTCTTAACCCCTATAAGCCCTTTAATAAGACAGTCCCTGGCTCACTGTCGGGAACCTGACTTCGGCTGCCGTCACTGTCGGAGTACCTTTCGTACTTGGGTGCTTAGGGCTTTAGGGTTTAAGGGCTCCAGGTTGAAGGGAATTTAGAGGTTTAGGGTCTGGTGTTTAGGGTCTCCGGTTCAGTTTAGTAAAGGGCGTCGTCGGATGCACCATTCATTCTCAAGACTTTGCAGTCGGCTACAGAGTTGCGGGCTGCTGTGCCCGAGCCTTGAAGCTACGGCAGCTGCGGTTTGGGGGGTGGGGCGAGTTTGAGCCGAGCCTTTTGGACTCTAGAGGTTTCTATGGGGGTCTAAATAATTATCACTACTATTTGTCAGCGCTCCTTCTTTGAACTTTCGTATAATGGGCCCCAAAACCCTATTTTAATTAGTAATATTATAAAGGCCCCTATATTAGGGTTCATGGCCTGAGGGTTTAGGGATTAGGGAAGGGCTCTCATTCAAACCCGCCCCGCACCGACCTAAGCTTCGGCTTTCACGCTTTGCACCTTGTGCTCCCACGGAAGAGGCCCATAGAAAACTCGGGGTGGGCCGCAGAGTTAGGGGCCTAAACCTTCACGCATGAAAGAAGAGAGCCTGCCCTCACCCCGAAACACCTACACTGCCGGATTTCAGATCCCGACGTGTGCTAACTTGTAGCTGTCAAGCCCGAAAGCTAGAGGACGTCTTCCGAAACGAAGAAGGAGATCTGAAATCTGAAGTAATTCTCAACACATGTGCTACCGCATTGTGGTGATAACGACGGTGAAGATCATGGCCGTCATGGTTGGCAGTAGAGATAGTAGCGGTTAGCAGTAGTGATAGTAGCGTTTGACACATGCAACTATACTATACCTAACCTGTCCTGAAACTGAACCCTAAACCCTGAACCCCAAAAACTGAACCGGGCCGACTGCTGAAGAGAAGTGAACAGCTGACTGATGTCGGAGTCCCTCTCCGCCTGTCTCAAGAGATACGCATTCCGGGGGCTCAGCGCAAAGTGCTAAGGTGTAAGAACTCGCAGGTCAGGCTTATAAGGCATGAGACTTCAAGGTACGTAAAGGCCCATGGGAATTAGTAATTAGGGTTATAAATAAGGTAACTATACTTATAACCCCAATTAGGGTACTTATAACTGTACTTATTAAGTCCCAGGAACCTCCAAGTAGGTGTAAGGCACTGTAAGGCTTCAGAGCTAGGAGCTGCCTGTTGAAGACCACTTACTGTCAGCACATATGAAACCAGTTCAGGTGGTTGATTGCCTTTGGTTTCATTGTTCCTGCTGGAGCCTGCGGGGCATATCTAGGGCCCCCAAAAAGCACATAAGCCAAAATTAGGATAGGGATATCCCATATCAACCCCCTTATGGTGAAGCCCAATAAGGTAGGGATATCCCTATAAAATGCTTATGCTGATGTCCTTTTGGGGTCCCTGAAAATCTACTACAACCTTCAGATCTGCTTGCAGGAGTGCGGCAACCTCGTCTCCATGCTTCGAAACCAAGCAAATGAGCAGTTGCAGTATCCCTTACTCTATCCCTCATCGCAATCGTAACCCGTTGCAGGTGTCCATTACAGCACCCTTGATATTGACGCTCATGGGCTTGATCCTCGAAGCTCAGAACATGCCCACTAACTCGCTCTTCCCAAACTCATCTGGAATGGCTGAGGATTTGGGGTTGTCGTCTAGGGTTTAGGGGACATGAGGTTGGTGAACTGGTAAACTGTGCAGAGGACCAGACCGTTTCAAAAGTTCGGGTCCTGCGAACCTAACAAGCGGCCGTTGGGGAGTAATGTAGAAGCTTTAATGCTTAGAATGGGGTTTAGGATTACAATGAGGAACCCTGCCGAATAATGCAGTGCCTGATACGGCTTCTACGCTATTGGGCGTAAAGAATTTCTTTGCGTTCAAGGGGGCCAACCACCTTCCCGTTAGGTGGGCTATGCCTACGTGAAAAATTTGACATGAAACTCCTGAGACTGTAATCCTAAATCTACGGTCCTAAACAAGCCTAAACCCTACACCCGAAGCCCTGAAGCCTAAGCCCTAAAGCCCTAAAGCCTAAACCCGAAACCCAAAACCCTAAACCATCCTACACCCTAAACCCTGAACCGTCCTACACCCTAAACCCTAAACTGTCCTAAACCCTAAACAAGCCTAAACCCAAAATCCGAAACCCAAAATCTGAAACCCTAAACCCAAATGGACTGACATCACCGGGCCTGCCCCGGGGACTTCAGCGTGTTCTCCCACTCTCCACCTCAGCAGGGTGTCTCTTTAACCCTTACCCTGAAAGGGCTCATATTCTAAGGCTTTCGGGCCCAAAGACCCCATTATATAAGGCTTTTGCGCTATTTCGATGCTAGGGGTAAGGGTTCCTTCAAAGGTTCCTGCGAGGGTCCCTTCGGGGTTCGATACGGAATTCATAAAGCCTAAACCCTTAAGCCCTAAACCCACAAGCCAGGTGAAGATGTTTGGGATTCAGGGTTTAGGTTTCGCAATCTAGGCCCTTTGGGCTTATGGGCTTATGGGCCCCTAAACCCTAAACCCTAAAACCCTAAACCCTAAACCCACACTTATGGGCTTAAGGAGGAGTTTAAGTTCAAGGTTTAAGGGTTTTAGGGCTTCAGGGCTTTGCACTGTCGGGCTTCGGGATGTGTTGGGATTCGGGATTCACTTAAGGGATAAAGGTTACCATAAGGGTTCTGCAATATGGGGTCTAAAGTCCTATAATAACTAGGATGACTTTTAAAACTGTTTAGGGTGTTGGGCCTTGGGCCTATGGGCTTCAAGCTGAGGGTTTCGGGCTTCGGGTTCAGGGCTTGAGTTTTGAATTTCGGGTTTAAGACTTAAGCGTGTCGGGCTTGGGGCTTGGCGCCCAAGAGGAAACATTGCAATAATGGATATGGTAGACATGGCAACACATGGGGGTTTCTGATAATGAGGGGTACCTTATTTTGGGTCCTTATAACAGGGATCCTACTATTTAGGGTGCTATGTTAGGGTCCTCTATTTTCGGCAACCCCCACATGGAATCATCCAGGTTGTGGCCATAAGAAGACGGGGCACCAATAGCAACAAGGATAATAACACGAAGGCCTTGACCAGGTAGACGGCCAACCGCCCTAGACCAAAACCTTGAAGTCCCAAGAACACGGTTTAGGGTTTCGGGTTCAGGGTTTAGGGTTTAGGGTGGAAATTCTATCGGGTGCCCGAGGAGGATGCGACGCAGCCCATAAACGATGAGTGCTCTAAATTTTGGGTGGCATTGGTGATTGCTGGCTCTCACAGAACCTCCCCGTGAGTCTTCGACTTACAAGTGGGGCCCGAGTAACCGACCCAAAAACATTCACGGCAGCAGACTTAACAACCGAAACCCGACACCCCTAACTTCGAACCCTAACCCCTAAAAAAAACCCTCAAGGAACCCATCTTCCAACCCTAACCCCTAATAAGCGCCTCAAATAAAACCCAGATTTACATGTTTGTAACCGTAGCTCCAGACCCCCATACCGGGTCATGGACCAGGAGGATGGGCGTCCTCCTTTTTTGAAGCCGGTGGCTGGGACTTCCCCTCGGTCCTGCGATTGTGGGACTGGCGGGGGGGGGATTTCGGGTTTAGGGTCAAGGTTTAGGGTTTAGGGTTGGGGCGTACGAGTAGGGTTTGGGGTTTAGAGTTTAGGGTCAAGGTTTAGGGTTTAGGGTTGGGGCGTATGAGTAGGGTTCAGGGTTTAGGGTTTAGGGTCAAGGTTTACGGTTTAGGGTTGGGGCGTACGTTGGCCTTTTCGGACTATACACTTCGGATCTAGCACCAGCATCTAAGCCTATGCCACAAGCGGGTGCCTGGCTGCGTCGATCGCCTCCACTTTCTTCTCGGAAACGGACGCCTGCACTGTGATCCATTGGCATGGGGTTTACATAAGGCTCAGAGCATTGATTTTTGACCCAAAAAGGGACCCTAATTTAGAGAACTACCCATATCTAAGCGAAGCAGCCTTGGACTGACTTCCAACGCTGCCCTCGCAGCCCACGCCAAGGTTCTCATCTTTCCGAAGATCCATCTGACCTCGGCGGGCTCTCACTCTCTGCGGTCAGGACACCGTCTGATGCCTGATAGAGGGTGGGCTTTGGGCTTTGGGGTATATTATATTATGGTTATAATAAGGAACCCCTGAATACGATTACGCATCTGATTGAGACGCGCGATTGGCGACAGCAAACTAGTGAAAAGCATGGCGCAAATCAGCAAGCCGCTGGATTTCTCGGACAGGACGGGCTCCTCCACGGGCAGCCCCTGGAAGCAGGTGCGAACAAGCGGAGGAATCATAACCTCTTCACTGAGGGTATTGAGGAATGGGGTTTAGGGTTTAGGGTTTAGTAAGGGTGTAGGGTCAGGGTTTGCGTGATGAGCAAGCCGAAGCAGACCGAAAGGCGTCTCTTTCTGGAGAAAAGGGTTTAGGAGGCAGAGGAAACCTCTTCATATCCGAGGCAAAATTCGTCAAGCGGACGATGAGATGAAATTCATTTCGTTGTTTGGCAACTTTTGCTCAGGGATGGGCATTCATGTCCTCCTGACCTACGTATCGACTGAGCATGACAGGGTATTTTGGAGGGACATGCCTGCCGATGCCAGCTGCTGCCCTTGCAACCTAATTGAGATCAGTATCAAGAGATTTTGAACCAGTAACTTGCCTCGGTCATGTTAGTTGAACCTCTTCAACACAAAAAGGCGCACACAGTCCGGCCCTAAACATGACTGAAAGAGCTTGGGATTCAAGATGTGCGGTTGAACAACCAACTCTATATAACCTGCAGGCTGAAACCGAAATCTGCAACCCGACGCTGACAAGGAACCCCAAAGGCTTACACCCTTCCAGGCCATGGGCAAGATTTATAAAGGCTTTAGGGTTTAGGGTTTAGGGTTTAGGGTTTATTTAGGGCTTCTGCGGTTTGGCACTCCCGACGCGCCTTCGGCAGGCGGCCGGCCGCAGTTTTCAACGGCAGGCCAGAGCCTCGGCGTGCGGGGTTTCAGGAGTCTCTGCTTCGTACCGCTACAACAATACCTATAGTCTCCATTGTAGTTCCTTTTTGGGGTTACCTTATAGGATCCTAATTATATAATTGGTTAAACCAAAAAAAGGAACTACAATGGAGACTATAGGTATAACCTTTTCTGTCGCTTCATAGGGTTTAGGGTTTTTGGGCTTAGGAAACAACTGATGCTGCTGCTGCTTACTACTACTGATGCAGGCCATAGTTTCCAACCTGCTTGCGCTTATGACTTGAGTGTCCGGACAGATAGCATAGATGTTACTCCTGGTCGATCGAATTGATCGAATCATGCCGGAAGTACGCCTTCTTGCATTGCGTAACACTACATACTTCTAACTGCTGACTTCGAACATCATTCGGGTTGTTCTCTAAATTAGGGTCCCTTTTAGGCTGCTTTTATAAGGGTGATGCACTATGTGGGGACCTAAACAAGGAATTTAGATAATTTAGGGGCCTTAGTAATTAGAACAGGGATTGAATAGGGTTTTGGGGCCCATTATACTATAGTTATAAGAAGGAGCCCGCCAAAAAATAGTATTGGTAATTATAAAGGCCCCAGTATTAACTATCCATTCTTCCCATGGCCCGTGTGTGACCCAGGGCTGTTTGGAACTGCGGCTCTCACCCCTGAGTGTGTCGGGGCGAACGCCACCGCGAGATTGGTTTAGGGTTTAAGGTTTAGGGCTACCCCTGAATCCCATAGTAGTTTTAGTTTTTCAAGTGCTTTTCTGTCGCTTCATAGGGTTTAGGGTTTAGGGTTTTGGGGCTAAGGAAACCCCCTGCAACCCCAAAGCAGAGATCCCAGACCCCCCCCTCTAAGCCCTAAGCCCTAAGCCCTAAACCCTAAAACCCCCAAAGAAAAGCCGAGCAGCTCTCTCCTGCTGCCTCCTCCACATAAGAGGCACCAGCTGCCTCCTGACTACTTGGAGGCCCAGGTGACTCAGTAAGTAGGTTATAAGTAGAGTTATAAGTACCCTAAATGGAGTTATCCCAAGTATAACGCCACTTATAGCCGACTTACTAAGTCCCCTGGGCCTCCAAGTAAGCTTCAGATACGGTTTGGGGGGTTGAGTTCAGGCTTTATGGTTTAGAGTTCAAAAAGCAACGACACATAAATACCGTCACAAGGAATCCGTGCTCAATAGTTTAGCTCTATGGCCTCGAACTGAAATCAATGAGTATGAATGGCCAGGGCGAAACTATGCACAGTGACTCTGCTACCCCGTAAGCCCTCTTAAAACCTCATACACATGATTACAGTGTACCCTAAGCCCTAGACCCTAAAATCTATGCACCGAACAAACCCTGAAGCCAAAACCTCATCCTAAAGCCTACGCAGTCAACACTTCGTAGTAATTCAATCGAACCTCCGGATCTGCCAAGAAGAGAGTGGCGGCTCCTGCACACAATGATCGTTAGGTTTAAGGTCCACTATAGGGGCGTTTAGTATACATATAGCTAGAGTAGGGTTTGGAGTACATACCCCCAGAGAACCCAATACCCCCTGATCAAGGAATAAACTTTAAGACATAATATTAAGGCCCCCATAATTTAAGGTATACTCCTTAAATTAAGGAGTATTGGGTTTTCTGGGACCGCGTTCTTATAGCAAGCAACCCAGAGGAATCATACCGGTCATTCTTTGCGCTCCAAGTTTAGGGTTTAGGAGGCATAGAGACCAAAGTCTGAGAGTAATGTAGGGGCCTGAAAAAAACTACTTATGCTACATATATATATATATATATATTTTTTTTTTTTGGGGGGGGGGTCCTTATTATAATTATAGTATAATGGGCCCCCAAAACCCTATTCTAATTATCAAGGCTCCTGATAAAGAA